GGACGGACGGACGGACGGACGGACGGACGGACGGACGGACGTACTACGGACGACACCCCATGGCAATAGCTCATCTTGACGATGTCAAGGCGAGCTAAAAATGCACATAAGCACATAAACACAAAATTTTGCACACAATGGCGTTCACGGACCCTTTGAAGCCCATCCACGAACCACAAAGGACTCCACGAACCACAGGTTTTGAACCGCTGCACTAGACGATTCCATGGCGCTACTGCAATAATGACACGATGCGATCTGTAATCGAAAAAGCACTCGGAGCCACACACCTTAACGTTCACTTTTCCGATGTGCTTCTCCATTTCCCCCAGGAGGGCGCTGAGCAGGGAAGACTTCCCCGATCCAACCTGACCGACGACGGCGGTGAGAGAACCGCTTCGCACCTCCAGGTTGATGTTAGACAGAGTCGGTTCGCCGACGTCCCAGCTGAACGTACCGTTGTCGACCATTATCGCCGCGGCTGAAGACGAGACGACGGCGATACAAATAGAGGAACGGCAAGATTCCGGCAACGAGCGCGAGAGAGAAGGACGGTTGCAGCCCACCGCTACAAGCTAACGACTGCACTAATTAGGTTAAGTTAATTAAGAAAAAGCAGTGACTGTCAGACCGCATCGCGTCTTTGATTACGACGGTCAAGACGTGGATTGCTGCTCAATGGTTAGGTTATGATATTAAATCATAAATTAATTCAATTTAATTTATACAATGAATTAACTCAATGGCGCAAAAATCGGCAAACGCAGTTGTTGTTTTTCTTTATCATACGTACTTGCACTTTCGTCGTGATCGATGCTGCCTTTACTGATTTCATCATGACTAAAATAGTGATTGAGTCGCTTCACTGACACACTCGCCTACAAACACAATCGCAGGTTTAACATCGTTCGAGACAAGACGGTTATCGAAACATTTAAATTGCTGATCCGAGCTGATCGATGCACGACGGGATGAATTAACAAGATCGTGTGCACGAACTGCATACCATCTTATCCCTTTATTTAAAACTGCTTTTTTTAAACAGTGTTAAGTCCATAGAGAAAAATTTAGAAGCCAAAATTTATCTGACACCGTAAGCCCAAAACTTGATTTTGTAACAGAATTTGTCCATATTAACAATTAGCATATAAATTCTTGCTGTGCAATAGTATCAATTATCGAATTAGAAAATGCTCAATTGTAAGGAAATTTTAAACAAAACAGAAAAAAAGATCTTCTAGTTTACAGTGCCTTCTAATATCAGTCTATAGTACGCTGACACCAGATTAATAATAAAGCTCTTACCAATTACTGTTTTTAGTAATAAAAGATTATCTGTTTCATACTTTTTATACCTGTTTTATATTGTTATATTTCGTCAAAGAGACTATGTTACTAATATTGAAAAGGTTATTCACTTATTGCATTCAAATTAACCTTATCTTGCTCAAAAAATGTTATTTACACAGTGACATGAGCATATTATAAAGTTAAGAAGAGCGTTATGCACATGCAGAATAAGAAAAAAACATGAAATGACATGAAAAAAAAAACGAAACTATGTAAAGTCACAGTAAAGACAACAGTGATACCAAACTAAATCAGAAAAGTGCCTTTTCTTCTGTCACTGTATCTAAACCAATCCTCTCTCTCCATCTCTCTCCATCTCGCTCTCACTCTCTTTCTCTCTACCTCTCTCTCCATCTCTCTCTCTCCCTCTCTCTCTTTCTCTCTCGGTCTCTCGCGCTCTCTCTCGCACTCTCTCTGTCTCTCTCTCTCTCTCAAACACAATCTCTTGCCCATTCACTCTCACGGTTTTCGGTCTCTCTCTTTTTCGAATGTAGCAATAAATAATCACCTGTATTGACTGGCTTATCACAAGAGGCAGCAAAGTCAATGGCAATCTCAAAATATTAAACAAAGAAAGTGAAACAAAAGCTCTGTCGGCAGTAAGAACGTTTTTTTCGTCGATCAGAACGAAAACCATGAACGACAAAAGAGAAACCTGAAACATGCAATCGACAAGGATTAGTATGTACGGTCGAGCAAGAAAAAACACACGCACGGGCACGCAACACGAACCTTCGGATCTCTCTGCCACCAGCGAATGCATCGGTGGATTTGAACGAAGCAAACAAAACGTAACAGATGTCAGATGGTCAAACGGTCAGACACGACTAGACGGTCAGACGCGACTAGACGGTCAGACGTGACTAGACGGTCAGACGGTCAGACGCGACTAGACGGTCAGACGTGACTATCGGCGCGCACCTGTTAACGATGCGGCGCGCACCTGTTAACGATGCGGCGCGCACCTGTTAACGATGCGGCGCGCACCTGTTAACGATGCGGCGCGTACCTGTTAACGATGCGTCCGAGCGGCGTTGTGTCGAAGAAGGTCATAGGCGAGCGCATGAGGCTGAGCAGGCAGTTGTGGTGCAGGAAGCGCGAGGCTCGCACGGCTCCATACGCGAGTGCGATCGCTCCGGCCAGCGCTGCCACCGCTGAAACGACGATGCGCAAACGAAGACCCGTTACCACGACGACGATGACGACGACGAGGCGCGGCAAGTAACCCAGCGAATCAGGGGTGATGCGGTAATACGGTAAACGAACCAGATGGTAATACGGTAAACGTACCAGGTGGTAATACGGTAAACGAACCAGGTGGTAATACGGTAAACGTACCAGGTGGTAATACGGTAAAGGTACCAGGTGGTAATACGGTAAACGTACCAGGTGGTAATACGATAAACGTACCAGGTGGTACGGGACAGGCTCGAGCGCACGCCAGCGGTGCCGTGATCAGAACCGTTCATGAATACGAGGAAAACGAATCGGACCGAAACGGAATTTTTTTGCTCTGGAGGGAAAAATCGGGTGGTTACTTGTTGTCTATTACATTGTCCGGGTTTTTGCTTAGCAGGACTCCTTCTCCCAGCAGCCGCATGGCGTGTTTTCTTTTCGTGGTCGACGTTACGTATGATTTCTGCCGTCTAGTAAGGGTGACGTTTAGTCGCGCGTGTTTTGCGTTCTGTCGCGTAGTTGACGTTTCTGAGGTAGTAGTACGTTCTCTGACAGTTGAGTCAGTCGGAGTGTAGTAAGTCTGACCGGGTGTGTTGCGTTGCGTCTAGTGAGTTTATGACGTCTAGTCGCGTGGAAACGTGGTAGCTCGTTTGTTCGCTGACGCTAGTCGTCTGACGTCTTAGTGCAGTGCGGACGTTCTGAGTTGCGTCTGACGGTAGTGTGTCTGACCGATTTAGTGCTGTCTGACCGTTTGACGTTAGTCAGTGTGCTGACGTTAGTCACGTCTGACGTCTGGTCAGGGCTGAGCAGTCTAGTCGAATGTCTGACCGTCTAGTACGTCTGGCCGTCTAGTCAGCGTTGAACGTATTAGTTCGTTTTTCTTCTTGAGCGTCTTCAGTCGTCGCTAGGCGTACCGTCTGTATGTATGGAGCCGTCGGAGTCGTGTACCTTACCTTTTGGCTAGTAGTGGTCATACCCCTGTGTTGATTGTCTACGTTTTGCATGACATCTGTTACGTGTTTTGTTTGCTATCTTCAGATTCAGCGATGATTCGCTGAGTGGAGAGAGATCGAAGTGTTCGCATGCCTTGCATGGCGCTTTTGCGTGTGTTTTCTGCGTCGATGCTTACTACTATCGGACTTGGTCATTGCGAGTGGTTCAGTTTTCTTCTGTATCCGTTCATGGTTTTCGTTTGAGAGACGAAAGAAACGTATCTAACTGCGACAGAGCTTTTGTTTCACTTTTCTTTGTTTAATATTTGAGATTGAATGTTGATATGCTGGCTTTGTGATAGCCAGTCAATACAGGTCGATTGCGTCTCTTATTATTGCTATTCGAAAAAGGAGAGACCAAAAACCGTGAGGTGAGATGGGCAAGAGATGTTGGTGAGAGAGAGAAGAGCGAGACGGGGTGCGAGAGAGAGGGCGAGGAGATAGATGAGAGAAGGAGAAGTAGAGGCGAGAGAGGGGAGAGAGTGGGAGAGAGGGCGAGGCAGAAGAGAGAGAAAGGAGGACATCATGTGGGGGAGCAGGAGGAGGCACGGAGAGAGGTTAGAGAGAAAGAGTGGATGAGACGAGAAAGCGAGCTTCTGTTGATAGAGCGAGAAGAGGCTCGAGAGCGAGGAAGCGACGACAGCGTGAGAGATGGACGAGTGGAGGAATGAGTGTAGAGAGAAGGAACGACGCGGAGCTGATGGAAGCTGTTCGTGTCGGTGGATGATGGTGCTCCTGCGCCTTATCCGAGCGCTATCTGGGGTTTTTCGCGGTGCTGCAAAAGCGACGAGGATGGGAGAGAGAGGTGGAGATTGCTTAAGATAGTGAGCAGAAGAAAGTTTCGGATTCTAGTTTGGTGATCATTTTGTCTTTATGTGAGCTTTTATAGTTTCGTTTTTTTTCATGTCTTTCATTGTTTTTTATCTGACTTTGCATGCTGCATAAGGCTTCTTCTTTTAAAGGGTATAACTGCATCATCGATGTATCGAAGGTGCCTTTTTTGGGTCGGTTTTTCTGTGTTGTTTTAAAATGTACGTTTTACATTGAGGATTTTCTATTCGATAAGTTGATACGATTGCACAGCAGAATTTTATGCTCATTGTTATAGACGATTCGCGCTCTTTCTCAAGAATCAGAGTTTTGTGCTTGTTGTATAATATTTTCATGTTTCAATCTGTCATGCCGGTTCCTCCGGCAATACGTCTTTGTAGCAGGAAGCCGTGTTATGTCGCTATACCGAAAGGTTGACGAAGGTTATGAATGATGTGTGGTGATTGTGGATAAATATTTTAGGGCATCTAATTTTTTGTTATGGAAGTTTACACTTGTTTAAATACGTCAGTTGAAATAAGGGTGTATAAGGTGTCTGCTTAGTTGGTGCACCGATTTTGATGTATGTGCTCTCGTTTGGAGGCATCGTTCTATTGGTTCAGAAATATGTAATGTTCGCATGATACGTCTGTGGGGGATGAGTATCATGTATTTGAGACTTGCGATTGATTTGTAGAGAAGGTTAATGTAGTGTTTCTGAATGGGGTCATTACTATTATCTATCATGATGAAATCTTTTCAAAAGCGGTATCGTAGGAGTATCGGCGGGGTCTACGACGAAGTGCAGTATTGATAGAAAACAACAAACTCGCTGGTTTCCAGATTTTTGCGCTTGTGAGTTAAGTTCATTGTTATGTAATAATTTGTGATTTGTATTGTTATAGCGGGGTTTAGGGGTATAGAGAAGGCTAACTATGCTTTATTGGCAGCTCAATCAGTGGGGTTGTGGTGCGTCGTAAGTCATAAGAGGATGCGTTGTCTGACAAGTTGGTTCTTATAAATTGCGTAATTAGTGCGAGTCTGGGGTGGCGGAGCGGGCGCGGGGAATGTGAGCGTGGCGTGCATACGTCGGCTTTCTCGGCGAGTTCTTTTAGCTCGATGCTTTGCGTTTAACGTGCTGTATTACGTATCCGCTCGTGAGCGTTCTGCGTCTTGCAGCCTAGCTGCTAGCAGCGAGGGTGGAGATGCGGACGGATTGGTACGACAAGCAGGAAGTGAGTGGTCGGGGCGACGTGCGGCGAACGCTGCGGGAGACCGTGTGCATCTGGAAGGGGCCGAAGGGGTCTCTGCACCGCGGCGTCTGCGTAGGTTTGCGAGAGGGAGTACGTTCCGAGTGTAGGCGAGCGTCCTGGGAAGATGGATCAGAGTGAGCTATCGAAAGACGGACGGTGAGTGTGATACTCGACACGGTTGCTTTTGCTGGTCGGTGTTCAGATCTCGCACATCGGTGTTCATTAGTGGGAGTAGGCGCGGAATGGTATGGGTTAGTGCGGCCAGGTGCGAAAGAGTATATTGCAAAATGTTGCTAGGAAATGGACGATGGATTGAGGTGAGTTAGTTCGTAGCGGCACTTGTGTGTGGTCAAATGTATAGCACGTGTAGATGTGACACTTTATTTCTGCTGCGAATGACTGTGGCGTGAGGTCAGTAGTGTCTCTGGGCGCGAATGTATAATGGAGTAGGTTCTGGGGTCCGCATATATACTCTTGACTCCGGGCTATCAGGTGATATCCCCCTCTCGTTAGCACCAGCCAATGGTTGCAGTGTACAGTTTGTCTTCCTGCAGGAGCACTGGTTTTCTGGGGACGGGTCCCGGATGAGCTGGGTTGACGATCTCAACGATGCGCGGAGAATTTTAGAAACGTTAGACGAACAGCTGATTCAGTTGTTTAGTGTTAGTCATATATGCGTGATGCGTGGATAGCGAGCGTTCTGTCGGCGGATGAGGCGGGCTGCGGGTTTCTGCTGTTGCGAGTTTCTTTTGTTGAGGTTCGTTTTTTGGCTCGTGGCGTACGAGAATCAGCATGCGTGGAGGGTAAGAAATTGAGTACATCGGAAAGGAGGGGAGATAACATAGGTTACAATAGAGTACAGCGGCCGACGAGCTATGGTCGACTCGTAGTCGATCAGTGAGATGGCGCTTGAGCCCGACTCTGAGATTAATACAGTGTGCAGAGGACCTATCGAGCTTGGACGATTCGGCGAGATAAGGGTGGGCAGTAGGTTTCCTTCAGTGAATGATCTATGTCACGTGGTCACTTGCTCGTCTCTCTTTCCTAGGTGGGAGTTTGGTTGACTTAATGTGGCGTAGCGGGGAGAAGTGGAGTGCGTGGAGGGGTCGTTGATTTCTCTTTTCTTTTCTCTGCTGGGATGTCTGTCTCTCTGCGTTCTTCTCTCTGTCGTCTGTCTCTCTCCTTTTCTCTCTCGTTTCTCTTCCTCTTCTCTGCTCTGGGGGTGTCTCTTCTGCTTCTTTCGTTCCATCAGGGGGGCGGTGCTCGGTTTTTCTCTGCTCTCAGTTCTTTCCTCTGTCTCTCTTTCTCTAGTGGTCTCTCTCTTGCGCGTTGGTCGTACGTGCGGTTTTGTCTTATGGTACTCTTTAGTTTTCTCTTCTCTCTCGCGTTTATTTGCGTTCGGCGGGCTTTCTCTCTTGTGTCTGTCGTTGCGTTCTCTGCTCGTATTTTGTTGTTTCGCTCGTGGGCTCTTTCCTCGTCTCTTTCTCATTGGTTGCTGGGGCTGCGTTGCTCTCATTCGCTAGTCTCCACGGTACTGGTATATTTGTCGTGCTTCTGTCTCTTAGCGTCTGGGCTCTCTCTGATTTTATGTGAGAGGTGCATAAGCCTCTTCTCGAGCGGATGCTGAACTGCTCTCGGTTTCTCGAACGCGCGGGGACGCACCGGCGGAGCGGTCTATTATCGGTAGTGGCGAGTGGACGATCAGGCGCGAGGGATGTTTGCCACGAGCAGGGGGGGTAGCAACGGACGGCACGGCATCATCGATGATCGTTTTGGGCCACTGACACGGCCTTGCGCGCGTGCGCTCCAGCGCGCGCGCTGGGTCGAACGCTCGGGGTCAGAAAACGATTCGACAACGGTCATCGCGCGGTGCTCAGCGGGGCCAGGGCTGAGTCCAAGATCAGAGCGGGACGTGCGTTGTGTTGTCGTGGGGATGTGCATGTGTGGGTTAGACAATAGGTCTCGCTTAATGGCATGGGTGGGGGGGGACGAAACTGTGCCTGGGGCTGTCCGGTGCTGTGGTTGGCTGGTCTCATTTGTTGGAGTGGGCGTGGTGTGATTCGTCGGGCTGGCGCGGGTAGTGGGCGGCTCGGTGTGGCGGGAACTGGTGTCCGTGGGCGTTGTGTGGTCGAGGTTGTGGGTTGCATGTCTCGGCTTTTAAGCGGATTGTGTACGCTGGTGACAGTCTGTGGTGTGGGTGGAGCGTGGTTCGGGGCGCTACGTGTTGTGCCGGTGCGAAATGCTGTCGGCGGGGGTGCTGTGTACATGTCTCGCGTGAGGGCGATTGTGTTACGAGGGACAAGGGTGTAGGTGTGAGGGCAGTGTGTGTTCGCAGCGCGTGGTTGGGGGCGGTTGTGCGGGACAATGGTTCGCGCGTGTGCGTGTGTTAGACAGGCGGGGTCGCTGGTTATAGCGGTGTGTGGATGAAGGTTGAGTGTGGGGACAGGTCTCGCCGTAGCGCTGGTTGGTGTGTGTGAAGTCTGCTTATGGCCAGAATGGACTCCGTTGTGGTGAAATTGTGCCCGCTAGGTGTGAGCTGGCGTCAGTGGTGGACAATGTCTTGCGGGTATGGCGTGGGGCTCAGGGCGGGTGGTGGCTCGAGTGTGAGCGGGTGACAATGTCCGCAGCTATGGGGGTGTGTAGGTGAAGGCACGTGTGTGGGTGACGAGTGTTCTCGCGGGGTGAAGGGGGGGGTGGGGAACGAGATGTGCTGGATAGGGGGTGTGGGCGGCGGGTGGCGGGTTGTGGTGGGTGGACAGTGTCTGGTCAGGGGGCGTGTGAGCGGGCAGGTGTGGGGGACAGGGGCGTGGGTGGTGCGGCACAAGATTTTGTGTGGCGGGCGCAGAGGGTGGTGACAGGGGGGTGATCTGAGCCTGTGCTCACGGGTAGGCATGGGATTAATGTTGGGTGACAGTGTCTTCGCAGGGCCCTGACAGTGACGATTCATCGAGCGGTTTTGGGTGACAGTGTCTCGCGCCGGCCGGGCGAATGTGCAGGTGGTGCCTGCTGCGTTGCGGTGCTGATGCAGTGGCT